TAGTTGAGACTGAACTGGAACTCACTATGTAGCCCAGGCTGGTCTCAAACTCACAGCGATCCTCCTGCCTCAGTCTCCCGAGTACTGGGATTACAGGTGTGAGCCACCACACCCTGCACAACTCTTGGTTACTTTTAATATATTTATAAAATTGTGTAAACATTGCATTTTTTTTTTCTGATGGTAGTGAGGATTGAACCCAGGGCATTCACACTGCGCTACATTCCCAACTGATTTTTGTTGTTGTTGTTGTTGTTGTTTTTGTTTTTGATACTGGGGATTGAACTCGGGTCCTAACGAACCACTGAGCTAAATCCCCGGCCCACCAACCCGCTTTGTTTGTTTGTTTGTTTTGTTTTTTGAGACAGGGTCTCACTGTGTAGTTCAGACTGTCCTGGAACTCACTGTGTAGCCCGGGCTGGTCTCGAACTCACAGCTCCTGCCTCAGCTTCCCGAGTGCTTGGGATTATAGGCGTGCACCACCACACCCGGCTCCCACTTTTAATTTTTAAGTATTTTTTATTTAAAAAATTTTTATGGCACTGGAGATTGAACCCATCAGTTTCGTGGACTGTCCATTTTGGAGCCATGGTGAATAATGCTGTTAACACTGGTGCACAAGGGTTTTGTTCTTGGTTTGTTGAGACAAGGTCTTGCTGTGTAGTTCAAACTGGCCTTGAACTCGCCGTGTAGGCCGGGCTGGCCTCAGACTGGTGGCGCTATCCTCCTGCCTCAGCCTCCCGAGTGCTGGGCTCACAGGTGTGCACCCCCATGCCCGGCATCTGTGCACAAGTCTGTTGTGTGGACTTGCCCTTTGGTTCTGCTGGGTTCAGACCCAGGAGTAGGCGTCGGGTGAGTGTGGGCTCCAAGTGCAGGCCCCGTTCTCATCGCCTTGTTTTGTTTATGCAGAGCTCCCTCTGCACAGCTTCCTTCCTCGAGCTCTGATCTCACAGGACCCTGCCCGTCCCTCTGCCCCTGTCCCTCCCTTCAGTAAGCAGACGCTGCCACCTGGAGGGCAGAGGGAGGCGGGCCTGTCCCTGCAGTGGAGGAGGGAGAGGCCTGAGCTCACTGTGGCTGGTGCTCTGCGCCTCCCGGCCTCCCCTTCCTTTTCCTCTTTATGCCTCGGAACCTGAGTTCCCGGGCCTCAGCTCGGCCCGCACCTGAGTTTGGGCCTGCGCGTCAGTTACCGCGGACCCCGCTGAGCCCACTGTGGCCTGGGGCCCCTCCCTGTCCTCCTCCACGGCCATCGTGGTGGGGTGAAGCAGGTGTCGCTGCGGTTCGTCTTCCCCTCTCTCTCCTGGCTGGTGACGTTTCCTCTTCTGTGTTCCCTGGCTGTCTGTACATCTTCTTTTGAGAAATGCTATCTTTGCCTTGTCTCGTTGGATTTTGGTTTGTTTTGTGAGACACAGGGCATCACTTTGTAGCCCAGGCTGGCCTCAAACTCATAATCCTCCTGCCTCAGCTTTCAAGTGCTGGGACACACACACACACACACACACACAGGATCAGACTCAGGATCTTGTGCTGTGGGGTAGGTGAGGTACCACTGAACTGAATCCCTAGCTTGCCTATTTTTGATTGGTTTCTTTTGTTTGTTTATTAGATTTAGAGACAGGGCCTCACTGTGTAGTCTAGGCTGGCCTTCAGTTCATGGCAATCCTCCTGCCTCAGCCTCCAAAGTGCTGGGATAATAGGTATGCACCATCACGCTCAGCTGGTACACATTTTTAACTAGAAACTTGTGCCATCCTTTTAACTAAATTTTGAAATGAAGGCTAATATGGGTTTTTTGTTTTGTTTTGTTTTTTGAGACAGGGTCTCACTGTGTAGTTGAGACTGACCTGGAACTCACTCTGTAGCCCAGGCTGGTCTCAAACTGGAACTCACAGCGATCCTCCTGCCTCAGCCTCTTCAGTGCTGGGCTTATAGGCGTGCGCCACCACACCCGGCAAGGCTGATACGGTTTTAAAAAGAAAAATAAAACTTCAACTAAGAGCAAAAGCAGGTGTTGGCAGCCGTATGCTGAAGGGTAGATAGACAGATGGGTGCAGCTGTGACTTTACAGGCCTTTTCTCTACCACAGCAGCGAGACTGCATCCTGTGTCCTGCAGGAGGCAGTGTCTGCTCACAGAAAGAGTATGTGCTGAGTTTTGAGAACAGAAGCACTTTGGGAATAAAACATGTTAAATAAGAGGCCGTCTACACCCAGAAGGAACAGCCCAGTGGAAGGCAGCGTAAACCCTTAGCACATTCTGCTTCCTCTTTGAAGCTAAACAGTTAGAACGAACTGCTGTTTCATCTCTTGGCAGATGATGCACAGAGAACTCAGCTTTGCCACTTGCAGTTTCACTTGCAGTCTGTGGCCACTATAAGATAAAGGCTCTTTGAGGGGGGCCATGATGGCTCAGGCCCGTAATCCCAGCACTGGAGGATCACTGAGAGTTGAGGCCAGCCTGGGCTTCATAGTGAGACCTTGTCTCAGAAACAAATGAACAACAAAAAAGTAGCTTTTAAGTTGCTATGCAGACACAAATTGAATTTTAAAATTAGTGCAGATCTCGGGTTTTTGTTTTTGTTTTGTTTTGTTTTTTATACTGGGGATCGAACTCGGGACCTTGCACTTGTGAGGCAGGCTGAGGAACCTTAGGTCTTTTAAGTATATAAAATACCGATAATATGAGCTTTATAGTCTGGCATTGTATTTTTTTGTTTTGGTTTTGAGACAGGGTCTCTCTACACAGTTCAGGCTGGCCTTGAACTCACTGCATAACCCAGATTGGCCTTCATCTCAAAGCAGTCCTCCTGCCTCAGCCTCCCGAGTGCTGGGATTACAGGCGCACACCACCCTACTCGGCCCCAGCAATGCAGTTTTGGGAAAGGATGAGGACTCAGGCCGTGGGTGTGCAGGGCACTAAGTCATGGGTTTTTGGGTGTGTTTTTGTACCGAGGTTCGAACTTCGGATCTTGTGCTTGCGATGCAGGCAGTGGAACCACTGAGCTAAATCCCCGACCCTAAGTCGTGGTCTTCATGTCCTCCGAAACCCTGGCCCTGGCCAGCTCAGCTCGCCTTTCGGCTCAGTCCCCACTGCAGAGCTCTCTCTGGGGCTCCACTCCTTGCCTGGGCTGGTGAAAGGGTCGCTGGGGAGAACTGCAAGGAAGCAATGCACGTTCCGTGGCAAATCTGACTGGTCCCAGAAGTCCAAGCCCCGTCAGGGACTGACCGAGCTCCCAGCAGGCCCAGCAGGGAGAGCATTGCTCCGCACGCTTCGGGGGCCAGCAGCGACTTTCACGTGGCCCACGCGGTGGTGCGCACCTGAGCTCCCGGCTACTCTGGAGGCTGAGGCAGGAAAATCATTTGCCCCGAAGAGTCTGATACCATCCTGCTGGGCAGAGCCACACCCATCTCAAAACAAAAACAAATAATAGTAAAAAGCCCTTGTATCTGTGATAGATTGCCATTGTCTCAGCATACTTGCTGAGGCTTTTTGGAGACCCAGGCTGGTCTCAAACTCGCAGTGATCCTCCTGCCTCAGCCTCCCCGAGTGCTGGGATTACAGGTGTGCGCCACCACGCCCAGCTTTTATTCTTTTTGTTTGTTTGGTTGGTTTTTTTTGAGACAGGGTCTCACTATGTAGTTGAGACGGACCTAATGAAAGCGTTTCTCTTCAAACCCTAAACCGGTGCCTTCTGTGAGAGGGTCACGAAACACTGTTCTCGAGGGCAGAAAGACTGGGGGAGGGAGAGTTCAGGCGCCGTCTTAGTTATGCTCGTTGTCTCTCCCGCAGGGATTTCGCGCTGGGAGACATGGAGGCCATTGCTAACGAGCTCAGCGTCTATGACAAGCTCTCGGAGACTGTGGACTTGGTGCGGCAGACCGGCCATCAGTGCGGCATGTCGGAGAAGGCCATCGAGAAGTTCATCACGCAGCTGCTGGAGAAGAATGAGCCCCAGCGGGAGCCCCCCCAGCACCCCGTGCTTGTCGCTGTGTACAAGGTGCCCGTGTGGCTGGGACTCAGGGAGAACAGACGCCCTAGCGCCCTTCTGACCACCAGTCCCATGTTGAGCCTCAGTTTTCCTGTTGTTTTCCTCTTAGACAGGGTCTCACTGTGTAGTCCAGGCTGGGGTCGGACTTGCAGTAATCATCCTGCCTCAGGCTCCTGAGTGCTGGGATCACAGGCGTGCGCCCCCATGACCCGCTGAAAGCTGTGGGTCTATAATGGAGCTGTGCTTGCGTGTGTTTTTCAGTGGTGGACGTAGCCCCGGGGGTCTGACCAGAGCCCTGCTGTCTGCACAGTTCTCTGACTTTCCTGCCCTCAAAGCAAAGGAGATGGCGTAGGCTTGTCCCCAGGGACGGTGGAGACAGACAGGCCCACTCTTGCTCCACGTGCAGGCCCTGTCAGGACGGTGCTAACCCTCCGCCTCTCCCCGCAGGTGCTTCTGACCCTGGGCTTAATCGTCCTCGCTGCCTACTTCATGATCCAGCCTTTCAGCCCGCTCGCACCGGAGCCCACGCTCTCTGGGGCTCAGAGCTGGCGTGCGCTCATCCGCCACATCCGCCTGGTGTCCTTACCCATCACCAAGAAGTACCTGCCGGAGAGCAAGGGCGCTGCCCTGCCCGCCACGGAGGAGGACAGACACTTCACGGGTAGGACTCCTGTCACTACCCTCGAGATGTGTGTGTGTGTGTGTGTGTGTGTGTGTGTGTGTGTGTGTATGTTATATGTGTGTGTTTTAGGGTTTGGTTTGGCTTCTTTGACACAGGGTGTGCTGTGCAGCCCTGGCTGGGTTTGAACTCGTGACCCTCCTGACTCAGCCTCCCAAGAACTGGGCTTCAGGCACCCACCCCGCCTCCCAGCTCTGAGATAGTTTTCTTGACAGTATTTGATGAGAAAGGAAGTCATATTTGTTGATATCTAATGAGAGACACCTTCCCTATGTTGTTTTATTTAATTCAGACCCCACAAACACGCTAGAGGATTGGTTTTATTATCCCTGTTTTGCTGAGGGGAAACTGAGCCAGATGAACACAGCTGCTGGAGTGTGAACCCCCACGTTGGGGATAAGTGCCCGTCAGGCGGACTTGACAGTGTCTTTCTCTGTTTCCCACTCTCTGAGACCCTGTGGGTAAAGGATGTTTAGCGAACCTGTGGGTTTACTGAAGTTGCCTGAGTCCAGCCTGCTCTGAACCAGACCCTGTAATCTCCCGTTGCCTGTTGCTCTGGGCCTTGCGCTAGGTGTAGCCCATTCCTTCAGCTTGGTCTCTTTCTGCCACAGTTCATGTAGCTTAGCAATATAGTACGTCACTTTGCCAGTAAAGCGAATTTAAGAAAACACTTAAATTTAGCGACAGGGCCTGAGCAGCAGTACAGAAATTCCCAATCTGACAGAGCGTTTGGCCATTTGAGGCCTTTTCTCTTCAATATAGCACAGCATGTGATAAGACACAAAATTTACTTCTTGAGATAGAATAGAGGGATATTGTTTGGAGAATTTTTAGAGGGGGAATTTTTCCTTTTTTTTAGTGCTAAGGCTCAAACCCAGGGCCTCACGTATACTGAGCAAGTGCTTTATCACTGAGCTGTGCCCCTTCTTGTGTGATGTTAACCTTATTTGCACATAAGAATTAATGTATACATTAAAATCACAAATGGAAGCCAGTTATGGTGGTGCACGCCCGTAATCCCACCCCACAGGAGGACTGGAGCAAGTTCGAGGCCAGCCTGGACTACACAGTGGGACTCTGTCTCAAAAAAATAAAACACAAATGGATCCGTTTTTTTTGTATAACCCCATTCTGAAATATTTATGATCCAGGGTAACTTTTACAAAATATGTTTTTAGAGAAAAGGTACTAGATTAAGTTTTATAGTCATAATGTCGTTCTTTAGGGCGAGACCTAATCAGTCATAGAAATCATCTCTTGGATTAGGTTTCCTTTAGAAACTATTTTTGTACACTAGAGGAAGTCATGAAAAAACTTCCAAAATTATATCAAAATTAGGCAAAGGGAACATAAGATAAGAACTCAGCATCATGAGTCTCTGTTTTCTGTTTTTTGGGGTTTTTTTTTACCAACAGTTTATGTATTTAGTTCTTAAATTCCAGGTCCCACCTTTTGCTATATATGAGGAGGGTTGTTTTTGAAACATCATCAACAGACCTTAAAAAGGAAGTTTCCAGCATTCACTGCCCCCAGGCAGGGACCTGCTGTCATCTGGGCTGCCCTTGGACTGTCCCGCCTGCCTCGGCCTCCCAGGGTGGGACTCAGGAGCCGCGGCCACTGCCTCCCCAGCTGGCGAGGAGGAGCAGGCCCCGGCCCTGGTGT